CCTTCTCCTTGCTACATTCCTTCTCTGTTTCTCTCTTCACCCTCCAACCCTCCGTCCCTCCCATCTTCATTTCTCCCTCCCTTCCTCCTCCCCTCTGCCCCCATTTTTCCCTCCCTCCCTCCTTCCTCCCATTTTCCCTTTACTTTCTTTGTACTGGCTCCACTTCTAAACACTTTTCCTTTCCTTCTCTCCTTTCTCTCCCTCTACCTTTCCTATATATTCTCCTCTAGTGGCTTCCACCTTTTTTTTAATCTATATAGCTACCATCCACCTCCCTACCATCTAGCTGTCATCCTTCCATCTTTATTTCAATTTTATGTGACTTCTGTTAGATTGTCTTCTCCTTGTCCTCCACTCTGTACTTCATGTTCTTACTAGCTTCTCCTTTTCAACTCCTCTGTGTCTCACTGTAATATTTGTTCTTTTTATTTTACTATTTTCCTAGTCTCACCCCAGTTTAGAATTCTTCTCTTTTTCACCTTCTTCTTTCCCTCTCTCCCCTCCCTTCTACCTTTCCACCTCCATCTCCTGTGTCTACATCTCCTTCCTACTCCTTTCATTCTCCTCCTCTGGATTGCTTTGTCTTCTTTTGGTGAACCTGCACTTCTGCCTTCCCTCCTCCCTCCTCACCCCTACTTCTTGCCTTCCCTCTATCCTCACCTCCTCCCTTTCTTCTTTTTCCTGCTTCTTTCCTCCCTCCTGCCCTCCATTCTTCATATACTCCTTTATACCGATTCCCCTTTTAAACTTTTTCCCCTTCACACTCTCTCCTGTTACCTTTTAATATTGTCTTTTGTATGAGACCCTCCTCAGAAAATCCTGTCTACCTATCTACGTGGTTTCCATCCATCCCTTCACCCTTATTTTTTATTTTTTTTAAAAAGATTTTATTTATTTGACAGAGAGAGAGAACACAGGCAGGGGGAGCAGCAGGCAGATGGAGAGGGAGAAGCAGGCCCCCTGCTGTGCGATGTGGGGTGGGGGGGGCTTGATCCCAGGACCCCAGGATCATGATCCGAGCCAAAGGAAGACGCTTAACGACTGAGCCACCCAGGCGCCCCTCACCCTTATTTTTTTAGCTGACTTCTCTTTACATCTCTCTACCCTCTATTCCTCCCTTCCTCCCTCTTCCCTCCTTCCCTTTCTTCTGGATACCCTTTACCTTTTCTCACTCCCTTCTTTGTCTTTTTCTTTCTTTTCTTTCCCTGCCTGCATGCTTGTCTTACTTCTTCCTCTTTCCTCCCTTCCCTTTCCCCTCCCTCCTGCTTCCTTCATCCTTCCTTCCCTCCTATTTCCTTCTTTCTTACCTTCACCCATCTGCTCACCCTCTCTCTCCCATTTGCGTTCCTTTCTTCGATTTCCCCTCCTTCCTCTTTCCTTTCTTCCTGCCATTCTTCTTCTACTCTCTTTTTTACTACTACTCTTTTTAAACTTTTTTCCCCTTTCCCCTCTCTTTCTTTATGCATCTTTGTCCTGCCTTCACTGCTGCTTTCCCCTATTTAAAAATCAGTTTTTTTTCGGGGCACCTGGGTGGCTCAGTTGGTTAAGCATCCACCTTCGGCTCAGAGTCCTGGGATTGAGCCCCGCATCAGGCTTCCTGCTCAGTGGGGAGTCTGCTTCTCTCTCTTCCTCTGCCCCTCCCCCTGCTCATGCACGTGCTCTCTCTCTCTCTCAAATAAATAAATAAATAAAATTTTTTTAAAAATCAGGTTTTTTTCTACCTATACACCTGCCTAGCTGGCTATCTATACAGCTATCAATCATCTTTCTGTCTTTATTTTACTGTCTTTCTTTACTGCCTTCTAGTTTTTAATTCTCTTGCAAATCACACAATTGTACTTGATTTTCTTACTAGTCTTCCCTCCCCTGTAAGTAATGTTTCCCTATTGACTCATCCTGTACAAACTTTTCTTTTCTTCCTTCTTTGCTTCTTATTGCTCCCTCCCTTCCTTTTTCTTTTTTGTGGCTCATTATAACAACTTCTTTCCTTCTCTCTCTCATTTTGTGTTTTTTTGTCCTGTCTTACTCCTGGTTTCTCCTATATGAAATCCTATCTGTCTATCCATCCACCCACTACTGTTGAGCTGTCTCATCACTTTACCTGTCTTTATTTTACTCTGTTTTTAAGTAATTTCTTTTTAGATCTTTCTCTCTCCCTGCCTTCCTCAGTTGTACTTAATTTTCACAGTAGCTCCTGCTTTTTAAACTCCTGTGTCCCTTACTCTCACATCCTGTTATTTTTTATTTTACCAATTTTCCTAGCCTCATCCCTTTCAAAATTCTTTGCTTTCTCCCTTCCTCCTTTCCATTCCATCCCTCCATCCTTTCCTCCCTTCTTAAGCTGTCATACATGCTTCCTAGAACATCTTCCTATTTATCTTTTTTATGCTCCTTTTCCTTCTCAGTGGAATGTACTTTTAAAGTCCAGTCTTTTCTATGTATCGCTGTATCTATTTTATTTTACTGTATTTCTTAACTAATTTCTTCTTTTGAGATCCAATCTCCCTCCTCCTGTCCATGATTATGTAATTTTCCCACTAGCTTCTTCTTTTCAGCATCCTGTCTCTGTCTCTCAGGTTCATACTCTTTGTAATTCCTTTTCCCAGACTCACCCCTTTTATAAACTTCTTTACTTCCTGCCCCTTCCTTCCCTTAATTCAGTCCCCTCCCCACTCCCCCCATTTCTTTTAATCTCATTATATTCGCTACTTTATTTTTCCCTTTTTTCTCTATTTTTTTGTCCTGCCTTTACTACTGGCTTCTCTTTTTAAAAATCAGATTTACGTGTCTGTATATGAATGTATGTATGTAAGTATGTATGAATTGATTGATCCATCCTTCTAATTTTAATGTATTTTTAAACTGACTTCTTTTTAAAAAGTTTTTTTTTTTAAGATTTTATTTATTTGACAGAGAGAGACAGCGAGAGCAGGAACATAAGCAGGAGGGGTGGGAGAGGGAGAAGCAGGCTCCCCGCTGAGCAGGAAGCCCAATGCGATGCGGGGCTCCATCCCAGGACCCTGGGATCTTGACCTGAGCCAAAGGCAGACGCTTAACGACTGAGCCACCCAGGCGCCCCTAAAAAGTTTAAGTAAGCTCTATGCCTAACATGGGGCTTGAACTCATGACCCCGAGATCAAATTGCGTGCTCTCCCAGCGGAGCCAGTCAGGCGCCCCTAAACTGACTTCTTTTTAGATGCTCTTTCAAACTCCTTTGTTTCTCACTCTCACAATCTCTCTTTTTATTTGGCTTTGTCCTACTGACTTATGCTTTTTAAACTTTTTTCTTCTCCATCTCCCTTTCTCTCTCTTTGTTCATATATTTTATCCCCTGTATGTCTGTTTCTTCTCCCTTTTCTTTCACTCCCTTTTTTCTTTGCCTGTTTGTTTTTATCCTTCGTCTAGTCTCTTTGTCTCTTATCTCTTTGCCTTTGTTTTCCTCCCACCCCCCCTCATCCAGTGTGTTGTATATATGTGGGTGTTAGTGTGTGTGTTTTCTTACTGGTTTCTTCTGTTCAGTTTTCTTTCTTTTTCTCTCTTATTCATTCTTTCTCTCTTCTCTTCATTTCATTCTTTCTTTTTGTACCATCTTTTCTTACTGCCACTAACTTTTTAACCTTTTTGGTCTTATTTTTTATCTATCTCTGTTTCATGCTTGGTATATTTTAAATGACTCTTCTTTTGTCTCCTTTAAAAAACACTTTTTTTCTCTCTCTTACTAGCTTGCTCTCTTTGTGTTTTGTATAATCTTTTCTTACTAGTCCTCAGTTAAAATTTTTTTTTTAAATATTTTTTTTTGTCTCCCTCTGTTACAGTCTATTTTTTTGGTAATGTTTTCTCTTACCGGCTCCTCTTCTCTGTCTCCCTCTCCCTTTATATACATCTTTCTCCCTCTTTGTCGTATCTTTTTCTTTTTTTTTTTTTGTACTGTCCCATCTTACTAGCTCTTTTTTAATTAATTAATTAACTAATTTTTTTAGAGAGACAGCGCACATGAGCAGGAGTGGGGAGAGGGGCAGAGAGGGAGAGGAAGAGAATGAGAATCTCAAGCAGCCTCCACGCCAGGCACGACCCTGACTTGGGGCTCAATCTCATGACTCTGAGATCATGATCTGAGCTGAAATCAAGAGTCAGATGCTTCACTGCTTCACCGACTGAGCCACCCAGGTGCCCCTGGCTCCTTTTTAAACCTGTGGTACAGGCGGTGTTGTCTACTGAGCCACTTTATAGAAGTGTTGAATTTGTTATAATGTATATAATAATATTGTATGTGTACATTCTTTACAACTTGAGCTGTAACGGGGAGATGCCTTGCATAGTGCTTGGCACAGGTAGTGTGAGCTTCTAGGATTTCCCTTTCCAGGGGTCTTCTGACCTCACCACATAAGCACATGGAGGTGTTTTTTTTTTTCCCCAAGCCACCAATATTTAATATATAGATATGCATCTTCTACTTAGATACTTTATCATTTATTGTTTCTCTCTCACCTTCTCTTTCATCCTGTCCTTTGTTTTCAAATATATTTCCCTCCGGTCTGTCTCTCTTAACGTCATCTCTTTGCATTTTTTGTAAGTGATAAGCGATTTTTTTCTCTAGAAGTGCTTGTTTCTAAAATATTAAAAATATATATTTAACATTTAAAAATTTAATTAGCAGCTTGCCACTGGAAATGCAAAACAGATATTTCAAATATGATGGTCTACTTGAAGGGCACCCTCATTCCTATTTTGAGATTTCTGGTCATAATGAGTACAAAACTAGGAAGGTAGTAAGGGGTAAGTTTCCTTTTGTTGTCCAGCATGAAGAAGAGTGCTCTTTCTGCAGACTGGTCCCATTTCAGAGTAGTCCTTGAAGTCCAGGTTCAGACCAAACCAGGTTTCTCCATCAATAGCTATCCTCGTGAGTTTAGGCCACTTTTGCTAATTCACACTTTAAAATGTCAAAATTGGCAAAAGCTTTTCCTCAAATAGCCCAAGTTATCAGTAAAAGCTCACTCTACCTTCCGGTGAGCTTCCTCCCTGACTTTTTGACGTTGTTCCTCAATTCTTGCTTCTCTTTTTACTTCTTCTCCAATCTTTGTCAAAAGTAACATCTCTTTTGTCTTCCATTCCTAAGGAGCACAATGTTATGGTAGTTAGCAGGGGTTCTCTTTCATTATCTTTTTTTTTTGGTATCATGTCAAAAAGCAAATTAGATCAAGTCAAGGGCCTTACAAAAATTGGGTTAACAATAATGAAAATCTTATGTTGGCTTTAGAATGGGCTTCTCACTGCTTTTTACTGGGAATATGTTGGTGGATGCAATGGAATGGCAAAAGGAAGGAAATTATTTTGCTTTTGGAAACTTAATTCAAGTATAAACCTGGCTTCAAAGATGGATCTAAGAAGATGTTGGCAAGAGGGTTTTCTCTTATTGCCTAAGGGTATATCATATGTGATCTGTTGCCCTTAAATGTATTTTGGTAGAGAAGATAAGTAAATGGGCTTGTCTGAATTTTGAGAGAATACAACCATGATTATTATTATTTTTTTTAAAGATTTTATTTATTTATTTGACAGAGAGAGAGACACAATGAAAGAGGGAACACAAGCAGGGGGAGTGGGAGAGGGAGAAGCAGGCTTCCTGTGGAGCAGGGAGCCCGATGTGGGGCTTGATCCCAGGAGCCTAGGATCATGACCTGAGCCAAAGGCAGACGCTTAACGACTGAGCCACCCAGGCACCCCAACAACCATGATTATTTTTCACTAGTTAATTTCTAAAGCTTTAAGAGCAGATGAAGTGTTACTATAAATGCAAAATAATTTGTGGTATTAATCTCACTATGTTAAGTAAAAGCGTGTCTATTATAACAGTGATAAAAGATTAATAGTGGTTTATTCTTTATTATTTTTAATAGTGGTTTAATTTTTAGACCTGAAATAGCTTCAGGTAATATGGTGGGACTGCTAAAAATGTTTATCAATGCAACAAACATATGCAATTTCCCCTCCAATGTTTAAAATTTGGTTTTCCTCACCTCTTCAATTTGTCTACGGAGATGAAGTTTTCTTCTAATGTGGTCCTGATGTCGTTGTTGTTCTTCCTTCATCCGGAGTATGCTCTGCTTTTCTGCCGTGTGCTCAACCTTGTCTAATTCCCTACTAATCATATCTAAATATCTAAGTAAAAGTGCAAATATAAGGGAAGGTAAATTAGGTGTTTCCCTTGTGATGGTATTATCAATTTTGATATTCCCAAACCACCTTCTGGGTTGCTTTTTATTTCCTGAATACAGAAAATGTAGAGTTTTTCAGGGACCTTTAAGCTAACCTGATCCACCAGCTCACCATACTGCACTAATTTTACCAAACCCTGTTATACAAATCTGTTATTGTGGTTGGGACAATGGCAAAATGTGGAACAGAGTGATTAAAAGCATTTTACATAGAGATTACATACAGCTCTGCAGTTTTAGGAACATGAATTTCCAAAGACAGCTGAAATCAACTTACAGACTGACTTCAAAACACAAGTCGGTTTGAATTGCCTTTAAAAATAAGTGGGTACTGGCCTCTCTGTAATTCCCAAGTCCTTGAATGACCTTCCATGTACAGAGAGGTCCGCAGACTCCCAGTCTGGGACCCTGGTGGATCAGCATGTATTCTGGCATATCATGACATGAACCCATGGACTTCAAGAGGCAGGGTAAGGGGAACTGGCCCTTGTCCCTGATAAAGGAGAAAGAGAAAGAACTATAGCTCATCTCTGCCTCTTGGGGCATGGGCTTGGCCTCTGAATAGTAACACTGAATGTGTGTGGGTGGTAGCTGAATGAACATACATGATTGGTTGGGGAACAACACCTGTTTGTATTAGCATCAGATAAAGTTATAGGAATTCTCCCTTTCTGACCCTGCAGTGACTTCCTTCAACTTAATTTTGAAACATGCTTAACACACTTTCTCTCTCTCTGCTACTATGGATGTGGGTTTCCCAAGCTCAGGGATTTGGACTTTGGATTTCTTCAAATTCAGTTTGGCTTACCTCTTGGGCTTTTAGTGAGTCCAGTTTCTCAGGTAGAAACTCTCCCCCCAAGCCTTGGTACCAGGGGGTTCCCAATCCCGTTACCTCTTAATCTCCTTTCCTTTCTCTCCACATTAAAACTATAGGGGGTTCAATAGTGTCTAATCCTTTTTTTGAGTCCTGCTTGCAATTCTTTCTAGTATTTTCACAACTTTCTAGGGTCTACAATATGTCCATGTATTGCCTTCAGCCGTACCTGTGCTTTATTATCAGCTCTTGGTCTGGAGTTGCTTGTGTATCTTCCTGTAACAGCCATTCTTGGAAAGGTTTGTTTCCATAACTGTTATAGGCTCTTCTGGTTTCATACAATTTATTTACTTGTTTTTCAATCATTTTCTGAGAGAAAAAAAATCAAAGTCTTTATACTGGCTAGAAATAGACCTGTCCTTCGATAGGCCCTCTTAAGTGTAGGGCTTGGTAAACCTCCTACACTTTACAGATGGTTAATTCTGTTAACGTGCATTTAAGTCTAGTGTGTCTCCATTCCAGATAAGTGAAAATTTCTCTCTGTAAATTAAAGGCAAAGGTCTAATTTTTTATATCTTATAAATCTCTAGGGATCTTATTTGATTTGTTATCTTCATAATTCTAAGTCAGGTAATTATAAGTAAATATTCTGCAAAGGACCAAACCTTTCTTCCAAACCCTACATAAAAACTATCTTACAGACCCCAAAATAAAACAAATTTAAGTATTAACTTACTTGTTCTCTTACATAGTTTCTTTCAAAATCTAATTTTAAAGTGGTCAGATACTGCCTGTACTTATTCAATTCTTTCAAGGTACATATCACCTATAAAAGCAAAATCAAAAACCAAACATATAAAGTTGTAACAATCATAAAGCTTTCCAGAGAAGAGTGTCATAAGAATATTCATTTTAGTAACAATTTTAGGATCAAGGGTAATAATAGCACATTTTGGGAGCAATTTGGAAAGCGGTATCTAAAACTGCTGTATCACCAGGAAATTTCTATCTAAATAGTATTATTTCAATAATATGGTTCATATCATAATCAGAAATTTACAATTCTCAATGAATTTTTTATTAAAACACCAGTATAATAATGACATTTAACACTCCCCCAATTTATTTCATCATGCTGTTTTCTGCTAGGCTTCCATTTTGTCTCTTCTCAAAACGTATAGGAAATATCCCTTGATAGGTATACTGTGCCTTTATTACTTTTAAAGCCAGAGGAAAGGCACTATACTACAGTAGGGAAAAAATACATAAATAAAAACATTTGTATGTATGTCTTTACATATTTGACAAAAGAAAAAAGTCAAGAAGGAACAAGTAGTCTTATTTAGAAATCCAAATACTGAGTAATTGAGTTTTCTAATAAATATTCTTTATTGTTTAACCAAAGCTGAAACAGGCTCCTAGTGAAGTACAGAACCGAATGTCTATCAAGTCCCTAGGGGTTTCTACTGGTTAAGAGGAAGGAGGCTTCAACCTACTTTATTATTGCTGGTGATGTAACCGCCCTTCTTTAATCTCCTTAGGATATCCTTTCGCTTATGGTATGCTTTTAAATGGGGATCATGCAGATTTTTATAGCTGGTTTCCAAAAGTTGGCAATAAGGATCAGTCAGGTTAAAGTCATAAGAAGGCTGATAAAGCTGCAAACACACGGATTCAAAAGTATTATGTGTGTAAAATGAATGAAGTTGCACTTTTTTTTTTTTAAAAGATTTTATTTATTTATTTGACAGAGAAAGACACAGCGAGAGAGGGAACACAAACGGGGAGTGGGAGAGGGAGAAGCAGACTCCCTGCCGAGCAGGGAGCCCGATGCGGGACTCGATCCCGGGACTCCAGGATCATGACCTGAGCCGAAGGCAGTCGCTTAACCAACTGAGCCACCCAGGCGCCCTGAAGTTGCACTTTTAAACCTCAAGTTGTTGAAATGACTAGGTTGGTCAGTGAAAATAAAACATGAAAGCAGAACCTGAAGTGAGGGAATCCGGAAAATGGATTGATTTAGGTAAATCTAACGCCCTTTCTCTTCCCCTCTACCAGAGCTGTCTTTAGGCTGGGGGTGGTAGCCTCAACCTCAGTTCAATTCATGAACACTGAGGTGTGGCCCTAAGAGTCCTGCAAGGCAGGTAGGATGCTTCATATGTGGGCAAAGAAAGACATCCTTCTGGGCAATGATTTAATTTACAGTGAGACTAGATAGGAAGCCCATATCTTTCCCAGAAGAGAAGTGATCAACAGTGATGGCAGCTGAAACACTGCTGCAATTAGTGGATTGATTATTGCTTCTTTTAGATGTTGATTTTTGTTGGTAACAGACATGTGTTGACCAACGCTGGGCTACTGACCTATCCAGCAAGAGACAAATCCATTTGTTGAGGCCAGTGTAAGCTTTCCATTGTCAATTACAGTAATTGGTTTCCCTGAACTGAAGAGTCTATTATAGCATCACTATGTGCCAGGCGGAGGTCACAAGGGAGACTTTCAAAAGTGTGCAAATTGTTCCTTTCACTTAACATGTTATCTTTTCTTAAAAGCAGAATGTCGAAGTTAATTGGCAAAGTATTTACTATTAACATTCAATAAAAGCAATTTAAGGAGTTTGTGAACAGTTGCTACCTAAGTATAGTACATTAATAAGCAAATTAATTTATAAATACATTACCTGAGAATAAGTTTGGTATCAAAATGTTGTATAGGATCAGTTGTCAGGTTTGGATTAATGCATAGCTAAAGATAGGTAGGTTATATTGTTACATTTTAATCTGACTGGAAAAAAGACAGTCAAATACCATCATTTTGCTTCTATCTGCATTCAAAACAACATGAAAGACCTTTAAATTCCCTGTTTCTGTAGTGATCTGCAGCTGAGGAAGCAGCAAGGTCAGGTAACAGAGTATGGCCTAAGAATCAGGAGACAGTGGTTCTGGTCTGAACTCTGCTACTATCTACCTGTGACCTTAGATAAATCATAGCTTCACCTTACAAGGTGGTCACGAGGGTAAAATGAGTTTAAAAAAACAACAACACCTAAAGGTGTAAAATATAAAGTCTTACTTCCTTGAGGAGATCCTGCTAAAAGATAAAGGTCCCACAAAGTTAGTCTTCAGGGTAGCTGAATATAGTGCCTGATCGTGATCAAATGCATATATTTTGGGGTAATCAATATAATAAAGTACAGAGATAATCAATATAATTTAGTATAGAAAAAATCTGGAAATAAGAAGTAGTTAGCAAGTGAAAAACAGGAACAGAACAGAAATAATAGCAAATACAAGATATTTGAGGAAAAAACCCCAGCAGATAGGGCCACAGTTACAAAGTAGGAAGCAGTGTTATTACTAGTAGTGAAATAGGTTTTGAGTATGTTTCAGGAAAGCTAATTTGTGGGAGTGTGACTCAGTCAATTTCTGTGAGGTTGGCATATATTTAGTAGAACATTATGCATTTTCAAAAGAGAAACTCTATTGTTTTCCAGCAATAAAACCTAAAATAATCATATATATTAGACAATTATCAGAAATACCAAGAAGCCCCTACTCATCCTTGATGATGTGCTAGACAGTGCAAGAGTAAGGAAGTCAGAATTATTCCTGTAGAATCTTTTGCTATTGTGATCAAAGCACATTCTCAACTAGAAAGTTCTGAACCTCCTTCGGGCTTGGCCTTAATTATGGACAGAGCACGGGGTGTTAGGCAGAGGACTTAAAATGTGTAACAATGTGAGTGCAACACACTGCATCACTAACAGTGCTGATTCAGTGCTGAGTAAGATAGTGCAGACCAAGGGCAGGTAAATTCTAAGGAAAGATGAGATAGTTGGGTGTTGTGACACTTGGGAAAGGCTTTGTATAGTAGCTCTTAAAGGATGGCTCAAATCGAAGATCAGGAAGGAGAGAAGAGTGCCTGCCAGGTTGTGGGAGCCAGATGGACAAAGACACTTATGTAAGAATTAGCAAGATAAGTGTAGGTAGGCAGAAAAGACCCCACCCAACCTTTGGGAAGTGAGGCTCTGGGTTGGAGATAAGGCTGAACTGCAAGGCTGAGGCATATCATGGGGCCTTCCATCATAAAGTGAAGTTCAGACACTAATCAATTCATTTAACTTAACTTGGTGTGTTAAGTTGAAGTTGACATAAAGCAAAATCATAGCAGTGTTTCAAGTTTAACAGCAAGCTATTAAAAAGGGTAAAGAAAATCACTTAAGCACTATTAAAACTCAGTTTACCTTTTCACTTATATTTGTAGTATAGAATATATTGTTGCTTCCTGGGATAATAGGCAGCTTGACCCCAAGAGGAAGATCCAATAGATTAGCTGCTCCGACCTCTGGAATGTTTTTTTTGTGTGAGCCCTGTCAGATACAATGAGAAAGTCTGTCGATTTTTACGAACTGTTCTTTTAGTTTAGACCAATCTACTCACATTAAAATGGGCTAATATTTCCAAATAAACCAAACAATCCTACACTCAGGGTTGAAAGAGCCCTCCTTGCTGACAACTCGGAAGCCTCCCAGCTTCCCCGGGTTACCGGCCCTATCTCTGGGCCCCACCCAAGGCGGGTCCTGGCCACAGGCAACTCTCGCTACTGGCTGCGGGGCCTGGGAGCCTGAAGCTGAGTCGTCAAGCACCGACCCCTTTCCCCCTCGCTCTGATGAGGTCTCCGCCCCTTCCGTCCGCCCGCCACCCCGAGACCCCTCCCAGGAGCAAGGAGGAGGGTGACTACAGACTCGGCGCCACTCACAGTGTCGCCGTGCTCTCTGTCGGCTGTTGGGCTGCTGGCGGCTGCCTTAGTGGCAGCGGCTTCAGCAGCCTTATAGCAGTTGTTGAGGTACAGATCCATGGCCGCCCGTCAGCCCCCAGGGTGCCGGGGGCTAGGGCTGCAAGCCGTTTCTCCTCTTCACGCACACCTTTCCCGCTCTAAGCTCTGATCAAGTCTGGGCCGCCGAGACGGTGGTCGCCAGGGTAACGCGTCCTCTAGGCCACGCCCCTCACTGTGCGGCGCTCCGCGCTGGAGTGCTGACGTCCTCATCGCGCAGAACCGACCGGGAGGGGAAAGGAAGCGGTGACCACTCACCGCTCACGCTGCTGCCGCGAACCTTCAGCGCATGCGCGGGCTTAAGAGCCTCAGAGTTTGGGGAAGTGGTCCAAAGGTGTGGTGTGAGAGCGCGCGGCGGAGGTTACGTTTCTCTCTGAAAGCAACACCCCTCATTTAAAGATTTTATTTATTTATTTACTTGTCAGAGAGAGTACAAGCAGGGGGAGTGGCAGGCAGAGGGAGAAGCGGGCTCCCCGCTGAGCAAGGAGCCCCACGGGGGGGCTCCATCCCCTGACTCTGGGATCACGACCTGAGTGGAAGGCATTTAACCCACTGAGCCACCCAGGCGTCCCAACACTCCCTCATTTAAACTAAACCGGAATGTACCAACTTGTGTCAGTGGGTAGCTGGCTGTAATTCTTAGAGTTCTTCCTGTCCCCCCGCCCAACAAGCTATGTGATTCTGTTCAACTCATGTCCCGAGTAATTGTGTGGTTTGTCCTAGGGCCAGAGGCTTGGCTTTCCACATCAGCCAACTTTATAGATACCATGACCCCCCGTTGCCCTAGGCATACTATCTCTCCAGGTCCCACATAGGGCACAATAACTTTTTTAGGGCTCAATGCTTTCTTCCCTTGTCTTCCCTTTTCCTGTCTTGGGCTCCTCATCTCCTTGGCCTCCTCTCGCTCCCTTTCTCCCCCTTTCTCCTATTTCTTTCTACCTTCTTGTTAGCTTAGCCAACATTTCTTGAGTGCCTGCCCTATGCCAGACACTGAGCTGGGTGCTGAGGATAGAACAGTGAGTAAAACATAGTCCCTGCTGCCTAGGAGTTCACTAGACGGTAAATACATTAAGGGTTGGAGACTGCACCTGGTGTGTCAAGAGTTTGTACTTTGCCTCCATGTTTTTTTATGCATCTTTTTATTGTGATAAAAGAGCTGGCCAAACATAAAATTTACCATCTTATAATGATACGTATACTCACATTGTTGTGCAACAGATCTCCAGAAGTTTTTCATTTTCCAGAACTGAAACTCTATACCCATTAAACAACTCCCCTTTCTTCCCTCCTCCCCAGCCCCTGGTAACCCTTTCTGTTTCTATGAATTTGACTACTTCAGATACCTTATATAAGTGGTATAAGTGGAATCACATGTTATTTGTCTTTTTGTGATTGGCTTATTTCACTTAGCATAATGTCCTCAAGGTTTATTCATGTTGTAGCATATGGTAGGATTTTTTTTTCCTTTTTTAAGACCGTATAGTATTACATTGTATGTATACACCACATTTTCTTTATCCATTCAACCATCAATGAACATTTATGTTGCTTCCACCTCTTGACCATTTTGAATAGTGCTGCTATGAACATGGGTGTGCAAATGTCTCTTAGAGACCCTACTTCAAAGTTTTTTAGCTATATACTTGGAAGTTGCTGGATTTTACAGGTGAAAAATTGCTGGATCATGTGATAATTCTATTTCTAATTTTTTGAGGAATCTCTGTACTGTTTTCCATAGTGGTTGCACCATTTTAAAGTCTCACCAGCAGTACACAAGGGTTCTAATTTCTTCATGTCCTCACTGTTATTTTCTGTTCATTTTTTTTCTCATTTTTTGGACAGTGGCTCTCCTAATGGGGTGAGGTGATATTGTGGTTTTGATTTGCATGTCTCTGATGATTAGTGATGTTGAATAGCTTTTCATATGCTTGTTGGCCATTTGCTGTCTCCATGTGTTTGGTCTACTTCTTTGTTCTCTCGGGCATTTAGTAACAATAACTACCATTTATTGAGAATTTACTAATTTCAGACGCTATGCTAAACACTCATCTCTTAATCCTCACAAAACCTCATCTAATGGCAATGGCTATTATGTGATGGAACTGGGAACTGAGATTTGAATCCAAGTTAACTGATTCCAAAAGCTGTGTTCCTTTTTTTTTTTTTTTAACTTTGGAACACAGTAATCAAAAAACTCCCAACAAACAAAAGTCCAGGATCAAATGGCTTCAGAGGTGAATTCTACCGAACTGATTCAATTTCATTGCAAGTAATCAGTCTGTTCAAATTTTCTACTTGTTCCTGATTTCATTTTGGAAGGTTATATGTTTCTAGGAAATTATTTCTTCTAGGTTGGTTAATTTTTGGCATATGATTTTTCATAAAATTCTCTTATAATCCTTTGTATTTCTTTGGTGTCAGTTATTATTTCTCCTTCTTCGTTTCTGATTTTATTTATTTGTGTCCTCTCTCTCTGTGATGAGTCTGACTAAAGTTTTATCAATTTTGTTGATTTTTTCATAGAATCAGCTCCGGGTTTCATTGATCTGTTCTATTATTTTTTAAGTCTCTATATCATTTATTTCTGATCTAATTTTTATTATTCCTTGCTTCCACTGGCTTTGGGATTTTTTTCTTCTTTTTCTAGCTCCTTTAGGTGTAAGGTTAAATTGAGATTTTTCTTGCTTCTTTAGATAGGCTTGTATTGCTATAATAGTCCCTCTTAGAATAGCTTTTGCTGCATCCCAAAGATTTTGGACTGTTATGGTTTCATTTTCATTTGTCTCCATGTATTCTTTTAATTTCCTCTTTGATTTCTTGGCTGACCTTTTTATTGTTTAGTAGCATGTTATTTAACCTCCATGTGTTTGTGCTTTTTCCAGATTTTTTCTTGTGGTTGATTTCTTGTTTCATACCCTTGTGGTTGGAAAAGATGCCTGATATGATTTCAATCTTTTTGAATTTGTTGAGGCTTGTTTTGGCCTAACCTGTGATCTATTCTGGAGAATGTTCCATGTGCACTTGAAAAGAATGTGGATTCTGCTGTTTTGGGATGGAATGTTCTGAATATATGTTAAATCCATCTGGCCCAATCTGTCATGCAAAGTCACTGTTTCCTTTTGATTTTTTGTCTGGACTTCCTTTATGTCTGTAAATAGTGGTTTTATATATCTGGGTGCTCCCATGTTGGGTGCATAAATATTGACAATTATTATATCATCTTGTTGGATTGTTCCCTGTATGATTATGTAGTGTCATTGTCTCTTGTTACAGTCTGTTTTAGTCTATTTTGTCTAATATAGATATTGCTACCCCAGCTTTCTTTTCACTTCCATTTTCATGGTAAATGTTTTCCCATCCTTTCACTTTCAATCTGCATGTGTCTTTAGGTCTGAAATGAGTCTCTTATAGGCAGCATATAGATGGATCTTGCTTTTTTATCTATTCAGCCACTTATGTCTTTTGATTGGAGCATTTGGTCTATTTCCAATTGAAGTAATTATTGACAGGTATGTACTCATTGTTGATTTGTTACTTGTTTTATGATTGTTTTTGTAGTTCTTATCTATTCCTTTCTTTTCTGAATCTCTTCCCTTGTGGTTTGATGGCTTTATTTAGTGATATGCTTAGATTCCTTCCTCTTTATTTTTGCATATATATTACTGGTTTTTGATTTGTCGTTACCAATATGTTGACATATAACATCCTATGCATGGGGGCGCCTGGGTGGCTCAGTCAGTTAAGTGTTGGCCATTGGCTCAGGTCATGATCCCGGGGTCCTGGAATTGAGCGCCGTGTTGGGTTCCTTGCTTGGCGAGGAGCCTGCTTCTCCTTCTCCCTCTGCCTGCTGTTTCCCCTGCTTGTTCTCTCCCTCGCTCTGTCAAATAAATAAATAAAAAGCTTTAAAAAAAATCCTATGCATATAGCTGTCTATATCAAGTTGATGGTTGCTTAAGTTTGAACCCTTTCTAAAGCACTACATTTTTACTGCCCCCCCCATGTTTTATGTATATGGTGTCATACTTTACATCCTTTTATTTTGTGAATCCCTTGACTGATTTTTATGGATAGAATTGATTCGACTGCTTTTGTGCTTTAACTTCCATACTGGTTTTATAAGTGATTAATCTATTACTTTTATTATATTTCTATATACCTGTGAAATTTTTTTCCTTTCCTAATTTTCTTACTCCTGATTATGGCCTTTTCTTTCCACTCAAAGAATTCTCTTTAACGTTTCTTGTAAGGCTGGTTTAGTGGTGATGAACTCCTTCAGTTTTTGTTTGGGAAACTTTTTGTCTCCTATTCTGAATGATAGTCTTGCTTGATAGAGTATTCTTGGTTGCAGGTTTTTTTTTTTTTCTCTCAGCACTTGAATATAGCATGCCACTTTCTTCTGGCCTGCAAAGTTTCTGCTGAAAAATCAGTTGATAGTCTTGCAGGATTTCCCTTGTATTTAACTGTTTTCTCTTGCTGCCTTTAAAATTCTCTCTTTATCATCACTTTTTGCTATTTTAATTATTATGTGTTTTGGTATGGACCTCTTTTGGTTGGTTGATTTTGTTGGGGGCTCTCTGTACCTCCTGGATCTGGATGTTTGTTTCCTTCCCCAGATTACAGAAATTTTCAGCTATTATTTCTTCAAATAAATTTTCTGCTCTCTTTTCTCTCTCTTTTCCTTCTGGGATCCCTATAATATGAATGTTATCATGCTTGATGATGTTGCTGAGTTCCCTTAACCTATACTCATTTTTTATTTTTCTTTCTTCATTTTGCTGTTCAGCTTGGTTGCTTTCTGTTAACTTTATCTTCCATCTTGCTGATCCATTTTTATCCTTCCTCTAAGCTACTATTGATTCCCTCCAGTGTATTTTTAATTTCAGCTATTGGGTTCTTTATCTCTGATTGGTTCTTTTTTATATTTTCTCTTTGTTGAAGGTCTCACTGAGATCCTCCACTCTTTTCTCAAGTCCAGTAAGTATCGTTATGACCATTACTTCGAATTCTCTATCAGACATATTGCTTATTTCTGTTCCATTTGGCTCTTTTGCTTTGATTTTGTCCTGTTCTTTTATTTTGGACATATTCCTCTGTGTCCTCATTTT